GGGACCCTCGGTCTTGCTGCCTGTTTTTGTCGCAAGCGCTCCGTGGTGCTGCACAAACGTGGTATGATGAGTGGTCCCTATCGCAGCGCGAACTCACTGCTCAGCTTGTTCTGGATAACCTGCGTACGCGTTTTGCTCCTCAAGTTATCTCTGTAGAACAAGAAGCACGACGTAGGCTCTCTGACAAATCTTTTGCGATGCGTGCTGGTGAAAGTGTACCAGCTTACCTCTCGCGTCTTGAGGCCGTCTTCCAAGACATACCCACGATCACTCCTAGTGAGCGTATGTTTTGGTTTTTCGAAGGCCTTTCTTCTTCCCTTCAGCCCCATTGCGCCACAGACGTCTATGGAAAGCCGTTTGCCTCTTACGACGCCCTGGTACAGCATGCCTTGGGCCAGGAAGTTCGCGCCCTGTCTGAACGAAAAGTTCGTTCTGCTCTTCGTTCGAATTCCGTTGCTTTGCAGGAATTCGACGGAGACCAGCCCCCGTTCAAGAGGGCGCGCGTGGATTCCGGCCCTCGGCTAGCCGCGGCCGTTGCAGGGACCTCCCGGCAGCCGGGACGTGGGAGCGTTCCTGGGCGAAGTAGTCGAGGGGGCAGAACGGGTCCGCGTGGTGGGCGCGTTGACAGGGTGCGCGGCACTGACCGCCCTAACGAATCCGCCGCCGGAGAGCCCGTCATTCCGTTGACCAAAGCTTGCGAGTTGACCAAGTGGGTCAACCAGTTTGGCCGTAGGTTGACGCACGGGGAGGTGGGGATTCTCCGACGATGCGCGGGCGGGAAGGCCATCTGTTTTTGTTGCGAGGCGGTTAGTCCCGACCACCTCTACGATGACTGCCCTGCTCTCAAAAGGTTGCGTGAAGCGGGGCTGTATTAGGAACTTGCTCAGGGCGGTATTGAGGGATACTACCCTGAGTTTCCTTTTGCCGGGATTCGTTCTTTGGTCCGCGCGGTTAGACCTGCTTCGTTGGCAGAGTTTGAGAGTGCCGTTGGACGCCGTTTTTCTTTTGACGCTGTTGCTGTCAAACCGGGCTTTGACTCGGAATGTAACATAACGGTTCCTCGTGGTCGCTCTCTCTGCTCGGTCGATGTTGGTGGTCATACTGTGCTTTTTGTCCCTGCATCCCTCAATCAATTGCGCGTTTCGCTTCGGCACTACCTTGCATGCAAGCACCGCCGTCCTGATACCGCGGCCGGCATTTTGCTACCTTCGCATGTCGCTCGGCGGGCTTCAACGTTGCTATCAGGTATGCGCCGAGTACTTACGTTTCCTGCGAAGTCCATCCTTTTCAACGGCCTTTCGCTTGAGGGTAAAACAGTAGAGCTTCCTGGTATTCCGTATCCTGCTGAGTTGTAGTACGATGCACCTTTACCTTGTCTCTCTGTTGCCCGGGAGCCCTTGCTTCCTCTCTTTGCGCAGTTGCCTCCGGTTCTGTGGACACACGAGTTGCTTTGCCTCTGGTGTCTCTGCGGACTGGTGGCCAAACGTTTTCGGCATTGGTGGACACAGGCGCTACTCACGACTTTATTAGTGAGTCCCTTGTCCAACGGCTACACCTCCCGGTCCGCTCTTCTGACAGGACCCACGTTTCGCTCGCTGACGGAGGTAGGCAAGCTATCGTGGGTCAGGTGTCGTTTCGCGTGGCAGTCGGGTCTTTGTACCTAACCGTCTCGCCATACGTTTTGCCGTCCTTGACTGATGCTGCTCCTTTTATTCTGGGGTCCGATACTTTGCATAAGCACTCTGCATCCCTGGATTTTCAGAACAATATTTTGCGTTTGTCAAAAGGTACTGTTCGATACTCGATTCCTTGGCGCGCGTCTTCTAATGACTCAGGT